CGTTGCAGTTAATTGCCTGTTGATGCCCGTACAATCGTGTGCCTGGGCACAAAGATTGCACGAGCAATCGTACCTTTTTCTTCCTCTTCTTTTGGAGGATGGTGAAAACGATATGAATAAAAGTGTTTCCCAGCGATGGAATCTTCTTCTCAATTCCTTCCTGGGACTCGCATTTTCGCTTGTATTGGGCAAGTCCTTTTAAGCCACGTTTTGCAGTGTAGTCCACATCCATTTTTAAAAATTGCATGAGTCATATTTGTTATCTCGTTTATGACATAGAGGCATGTGTGATATTTCTTCCACCTAAGCCATGTAACATATAGAATAAAACGCCTAAATGCAAATCCAATGGCAAATCGGATGAAAATTATCCGTACATCGGAAAATATTTCAACAAAACTAAGCGCAGTTTTCTTCAAATGCATTTAAATTTGAGCGTGAGTAATGTATAAGTTGTTTAAATATAGTTAAAGCATCGTGTAGCATGGGGATAGCATATCCGGGTAAAACAAACGAACTTGCTCTAAATTCCATTGGTAGACTAGAATTTAAAGTTTTATTGGGGTAAGGTTTAGGACAGATTAACAAAGCCCCTAAAATGTACAGCTTCAGTGTCTCCTGCACTCAAACGCAAAGAGCGTCACGTTTATATCCAAAATTTAGATGAGTAGAAGGCGTTTATATTAAAGTTTAGAAACCAGTCTATAAGCAACTCACCTCAGAACACCCGTTGGCTTTAGGTTCTAAATCAAAGGCAGATTCGAATCCCAACTGGGAAAGAATCAGGCCCTCCTGTAGCTCCGTATGGGTGTAATCAAAGGAGGCATTAGGATGGGTATGCAGCAGATCCACGTTGAAAGCAAAGGCACCCATGTCGATTGGGAATTTGCGTGTTGGACGGAAACTGACCACAAAGCGAACGATTTTGCTTTTGTTTTTGCAGTCAGTAACGCAGCCCTCCCACGTCCTTCCGCCGACCAATCCGACGGGCCATGTCGACCCGCGTTTGGTGGTCCGCATCTGATTGGCACGAACACAAACAGCTTTCAAATCAAGGCCAGTATCTATGTAAATATATAGAAATGTATACTTTTATATTTGGCGGAATGTATGTTTAGTAAAGTGACACTCATCGATCGGTTACGGGACTTACTCGGCCCGTTGTGCTATGAGGCTCGCTCTCAATGCACGTCAGTCACCGCACTACGAATTATTTATTTCCGACAAAAGCTCAGAACCGACAAATACACGGGACGCTTGAATGGCCATTACTGGCTTCTTAGACGTCAGCCAAACCCGCCCCAGATGGTCTAACCTCTACGAATTAAACCGGTGACCTGGTGACTGGGCAATGTTCTTCAGCCAACTACTTATATAATATTATCATATAATATATATCGTATGAATAAAATATATATTATACATATAATATGTATATTTATAGGCTAACCGTAGGGCGGCTATTGGGGGGGATCGAAAGCGAGTCCCCAGGCACAATGCAACGAGTGACTTCCGTACCGATCTGTAAACGCCCATCTACCATAGTATATATATTTAGGAAGAGTTTCTTTGGGAAGTAGTTGGTACTAGTTGGTAGAGCGTTTTGCTGCATAATTAAAGGTCTTAGGTCCGAACCTCGGGTAATCCACACCTGGGATTGGCTATGACTGGCTGATGACAGTTTATAGGCCAGAAATAGCCAATCCGGTCGGTTCCAATTCATATATACGTATATTTGGTCAAACACTCGCTCCTCTCCTTCTTGTAGCCTTCTTCGAGGGATGATAAACGCGAGTTTCGGAAGTGAGTCTTTTTTAGTATCAGTTTTGAGGAAAACGCGATTTGCTACCAGATGAGTACAATTGAGGTTAGTTTGGCATACGTTCTCTACAAAATATATTTGAAAATGTAAGAGCATCGAACATCTGTGGGAAAAATGGATATTAGACCGATAGCCATTTCAACGTGTTTGACTTCCAGGCGACAGAATACACGTGTAAACACCAGCCGGCGTCCTTTCATTTCAAAAATGTTTCGGGATAGTGTATCAGAATAGTTAATATTGAGAAGAAGACGACTCTATCGCTGTGAGAATACTTCTATTCGCCTGACGTTTCGAGATCCCTAGCGGATTCGTCATCAGAGACATAATCACAGAACAGTAGCAGATACAGATAGTGTGTGCAAAGGAGTTTGCCCACAAACCTCCTGTATCTGCTTTTTCTCTGTGATTATGTCTCTGATGACGAATTCGCGACGGATCTCGAAACATCAGGCGAATCAAAGCATTGTCCCAGCGATCGAGTCGTCTTCTTCTCAATTACTTCCTAGGACTCGCATGTTCGCTTGTGTTGGCAATAGGTAATATTATGCATTTTACTTACGTAATCCATTCAATCACAAAAAGTATTTCAGAATGTTGGTCAGCATTTAATGATATCGGTCAGAGGCTCTACGTAAGCTGTGTGAAGACTTATTAAAATTGTCAATGCAAGCGAATATGCGAGTCCCAGGAAGTAATTTAAAAGCAGAGGATTCGAAACGCAAAGTGCCGAACACGCAGCAGCAGTACAGCGAAATAATGTCAATTCTTAATTTTCGGCTCATTCGACAAGGCTCGGCCACACATTCAAATTTGATGAGCCCGAAATTCTTGCAATAGGTGGTAATCATATGAGCTCAGAATTACCTGGTTCACGGGCTCCCAGTTCATAAACAAGGGTAACGGCTTGCCCTACCCATATTCGGTGCTGGAGTCCCATTTGGCCAAAGCAAGTGGCCACTTTGGGGAACGCACATGCCACCGCATCGTTTTACGCCAATACCGGGAACCAGATGGACGAGCAATCACCACGTCTAATTCCACTACGCATATTACAAGTATAGCAAGTCACGGCCCGCATGCAGGTCATCAAGCAACCCACGTAAAAGAAGTCAATTATCGTTATCTGTCGCTATGTGTCATACGTGTGCAATACTGGCTGTGTCCTATAAATACTGCAACTTCCTGTGCGTGTATCACCCACTTTTACTACTTTTTCCGCTCATTCATCTGATGATGAATCCGCGATGGATGTCGAAACGTTAGGCGAATAAAAGTGTTGTCTCAGCGATCGAGACCGCTTCTTCTTACTTACTGAAATTATTGTTTTTATGTATGAAGTTTTTCATCCTCTGCAGCCCGGCACATGAGTTTTGCAGAGCCTGTCCAAACGCAAGTGATGTGACAGGCTTCACGTCATTGTACCGTCATGGTTTATTGCACTTTTGCAGGTACCTGGCCTGCCAGACCGGTGCTCCGCTAGGCCTAAACATGCCACCGCTTCCTAGTCCAGGACTGTTTACTCTACCGGTGCAAAGGTCGGTTGGCTTTAGCTAGAGAGCTTTGAATTAGCTATCACCTACTGACTCCATGTGTAGCCTAAAGTTGAGCCAGTGGACTGGCCGGAGAAATAACTTGATTGCAGGCATTTAGTGACAGTTCAACCATGAATTTTGACAATTTCCACCGTGTGCGGTAACTTTCGTGTAGATTATTTTTAAGTAATACTACTATTAGACTTGCGTTGCATCTCCCGTTACCTCTCC